CTCGCCACCTGGCTTCTCTGCAGCAGCCTCCATGTTTATTTATTGCTCCAGGGATTGCAAGGAAATTGCTGCTTCCCCACCTTCAACCCCACATGCTTCAGAAGAAAGTGGGAGAGATGCAGTGAAAGCCCCTTGTTCTGGGGGCGGCTGGCAGCACAGCACAGCAGGAACCAGACTCGCATTCACGGGTCACCCATGTGGCTTCTGTGAGATGCCCCACTTGCACCGGGCGGCGGCAGCGTCTGCCGCTTCTTGCTCGGCTTTCCTGCTGGAGTTTCCTTGGCTTCAAGCCCGGCGTGGAGAACTTGCACGCTCCTCCTGCTGCCCCGCTTGGGAAGGCGGCTCTCGCCCGCTCCCTTTACGCATCCCTGGGCTCCAGAAGCAGAAACAAAAGAGCCAAACTCTCTCTCTCTCTCTGGCTTCTGCCTGCTCTCACCTCTCTAGCTACCTATGAGTTGAGGGAAAGGGCCCCACCCATTTGCTACCTCAAAAAGAGCCACCAGAATGTTAGAATTAGAAGGGAGCCCAGGCATTTAGCATAACTCGCCGCCCCCCACTGCCGAAAAAGCCTCATAACAATCTCCTTCTTACATTCTTCATCAGCCAAATTGCTTGGCTAGCAAGTTCAGTGTCCTTTATTTGGCAGCACATCTTGCAAAACTCAGTATTGTGTGCAGATTAATTGCTGTGGTCATGAATAAATCTGACCAGTATTGAAAACTGCAGTACATTCATTTAGTGACACAGGAGGATATTCACTGGCAGTTCCAGATACTTTCTGCTAGGAAGTTAAGACTGATATTATAAATACAATCTGCAGAACTATTTGGCATTACATAATTCAGCCATTCCCAAGCTGTGCTGACTAGGCCTGAAGGGATTTTTGTACAAAACATCTGGAGGGCACCAGGTTTGGAAAGACTGACCTAATTTCATGTTTTGCAATGGCGGTGTAAGTGGAATGGCTGGTTTTCTTCTTTTTCTCATTTAAAGCCATTACAGCTTAATAAAGGTAATTAGTCACCTTATGTGCAATGTGTTAGAAAATACAAGTAGGTCCTGCAATAAGATGTTTCATAGTTTTCCTCACACCCTAAAAGAGTAGCTCCTGTTTGGGGTTGCAGCCAGTCATGCTCTCCTCCAGGACACTGTAAAGAGCTCAAGCAGACCAAATTCACTTGCCCACCAAAGTTTTCCATTTGTCTTTTTGAACACAACTTCCCCTGGCTCCTAGAGGTCACCTCTAACACACCATTTTAGATTTCAAAAACATTTTGTTACTACTGCATGCCTTGGGGCTTGCCTAAGGAGGCAGAAGCCTCCCTCCTGTTTCTCAGCAACTCTGTTTTGGCTCCAATCCTGGTGGCACTGAGTAGTAGAACAGTAATAGAAATGAGAATAGTAATGCAGGCAAGGTAAATGAAAGAAAGAAGAATCACAGAATCACAGAATTGCAGAGTCGGAAGGGACCACAAGGGTTATCTAGTCCAACGCCCTGAAATGCAGGAATATTTTGCCCAACATGGGGCTTGAACCCACAACCCTGAGATTAAGAGTCTCATGCTCTACCAACTGAGCTAAGGACGCTGTCTCTAATCCTTCGTTTTCCCATTGCCTTACCCACAATCTAAGCTGGGAAGTGGGAAGGACAAACTGAACATTTTTCTCACCCTCCAAAATCACCACCTTAATTTTATCAGCAAGGTCTTTCTTTGCTGAGTAGCATGCAAGAATCTGTGGCGCTGACTCTGCAGGGAAGGTTGCCCTAAGTATGGTCTGTTCTTGAAAATGTTGAGATCTGTATAAGGTTACAAGAGGGCTCTGTATAGTTCCTGTAGACAGGCAGCACTCTGGGACACAACAGGGAACTGGAGAATGGTGTGCATCCTCTCTTATCTTTGCACTGTTCTTATACTGCCTTATTCAGGGGAGAGAGAGAGAGATCTAGGTGGAAATATAGGATGCCCAGTCCCTGACTCCTGCAGTTTAAAAAATGATCAGACAGCCAATGACAGGAAAGAACCTGAGACTTTGGAGAGCCACTGTTGCTGTGTACACACTATAATTTAAAGCACATTCTTTCAAAGCACATTCTTTCTCTCAAAGCATTCTGGGCACTGTCATTTGTAATGGTTTTCTGGGAATGCTCTCTCTTTCTGATTGTGTGCAGTTTATAAAGGTAACATCATTTTGAGCAAATATTCAGATAATTCCTAGAACTCTTCACTATCCCACATTATGGTTAAGTGGTTTGATGACACACACAGTTAGGCATCATTTTCATAAACAGACTCAGGGATTTAAAAAAACAACAACTGCTCCCTAGCTTTGCCTCAGTATTGATTTTGCAAATAAATTTACATTTGCTTGATTGCTTTTAACATTAATTTAAAGTTCTTGAAATAACTCCATTGCAGAAAGTACTTATGGAGAACTAACTCCAGGTTTGAGGAATCCCCGTGGAAAGTGCCCTGGGAAGAGCCCCATCTCCTTGGAGCAGCAGTGCTCCAAACAATGCCAGGTAGATGACTCTAGCGTTCGTTTAAGTTTCCCACAATGCCCTAGTGATACCACACCAGAGGCATTGTGGGAAATTTGGGTAGTGACCCAACTGCTGGGATTGTCAGGCCTCAGGGATATGGATTGAAAGGGAGTCCTAAGGCACACAGCAGCAGTGGGCCCTACTGGTGTGCTTGGGCCACCAAAGGATGCCAAGGGCTGGCAGTTGTCAAGGGATCTTGATAAAGCAGAGACTAAATAGAGGAAAGCCAGGTCATCAGAAGCTGAAAAGTGGAAGCCCTTTTGGTGGCTATGACTGGTGTATGGATCTCCAGTGAGAAAACAAAGCACCATAAATGTGAAAGTTCACCCTCCATTTCAAGGCTGGAAGATGCTCTGCATGCATCATTGCATCAGAGCTCTGTGGAGCTTTCCACTGTTTTGAAACCATGCATTTCCCCACTGATTCCACTTCATAGCATTTCAGGCTTGCTCTGTTCCCTTGCATGGGGCTTCCATTAAGAGCTCCCAGCCCATGGCTTCATTTTGAATGTGCTAAGAAGTATCTGTGAGGGTTAATTCCCTGCTGGAGGCTTGCTTTTTTCATTCATTTAGAACACCTTTAAATATGTGCGATATTTCCTTATTTGGTATGCAGACAAGCCAAAATAGCTTTATTTAGCATAGATTTGTTTATATTGTGGCCATCTTTGTTGTTGGAATACCTGAGTGTTGCCTTATTCTCCTATTAAATGCTATTTTATTTGTTCCTAACTTCCCCTGTTTAACAGCAGACAAACCCAGGGAGCACTGAATGAGTCGGATGATCCCGAGACAGGCTGTCTAACTGATAACAAGCCAACTTCTCGTCACTTCTATCCTGTCGCCTTGCTCCTTGTCAGCTCGCATTTGCTGGTTGTGTGGCTTATTTTAAGTCTTGCTTTATTATTAGCCAAATATCAGTAAATTTCACTTCTGTCCATTTCTTTTCTATGAACAGCAACAGCTTAAGATTAAAAATTGTGCTGTATGATTTCTACATTTTCAGACCCACAAATTTGACCTCAAGAAGGCAATGTCTTGAACTGTAAGAGATTTTATTTCTATTTCCAGAAATCAAGAAAGCATACTATGCATCAGGTGATTTAATCTGCTTTCTATTCTGAGCAAATCTTTTCACACATTAAGAATGGCCATTATATTAGTGTTTCTTGATCAGATGAGATTTTGCCATTAAATTGGAAGGATCTCTCCTCCCCTCCCCCTCCGCCACTGCCCGCTTTTTACAAAACTCGTACTTAGGACCAATTCAACTCCTTATGGAGTGATTTTACTGTCTCATTTTTACTTGGGGACCCATTTGCAGAAATCTTCACTTCTTTTCCAGCATGCACAGCCCCACACTTAAACATTGCCAAGGTTTAACACACCAGAAAGTATGGTTTTAGCTGACATGGGCCCTTTGCCGTTTTCACATGGGGGAGCTCACATCAGACAAAGGGTTTCTTATTTGGAAATGCAGTGGTAAAATTCACATTGCAAAGACAGTCACATGTTTGTCAGTCGTGATTATCAGTCCTTAGTCAAAATATGGGGGGAGGGGGGAATTAAATCTGTACTCATAGAACTCAACCCAAGCTGAATTATTTGGACAGGTCAGTTTGAAAGATTAATTTTCCATGTGCTTTTTTTATTGTTACTTCCTGATAGGAATTCCTATCTAGCAAATAGTTCACTCTTTTATTTGTTGCAAACTAACCCTTTTCTGTCAAGCCGTTCTATGGCACTTGATAAGTTCTGTTTTGTAACAAAATTAACCTGTTTGTAAATGTTGCTTTGGTTGCTTTTGCTTTATATTCATTTAAACAAAAGTTTTGTTTGCGTCTTGATGCACCATGTTGGCTCTTGTGACTTTTGTACTGTGTATGAATGAGCATCATTATTTTGAAAGCAGAGAGTTGTTGGATCAGGCTATTGGAAAGCCATTTTCTATTTCCTTCATTGCAAAGCTAAACATAATGAAAATAAGACAAAGATGGAAGTTTCCTTTACAAATCTGTAGGGCCAGACTTAATTAAAAATGCCTTATTCCTAGAACCTGCACACCTAAGGCTACATGTGAACTCTGACATGTACAACAGAAGCAAAACAAAGCGAATCTGAAAAAAAAGTTATTAAAGAATTTTTAGAAGCAAATATATTTCTAAGGGTAGAGTAAAATATATCATAAAGTATTTAATCAAACCACAGTGAGAGATAAATATATATAAATATATATATATATAAAACCCACACTCTACTTCTAAGGGCAATAACTGTATTGGGCCTGGCCTTGGATCTAATTTTGTAAGATGTATCATCACTTGTGGAAAATATATTGTAGAATTGAATCTCCATTATTTTTACTTCAATTGTTGCTGAAACTCTGCAATGTACAAATAAAACATATTTATTTATTTATTGTTTCACGAAGTTGTCTTTTTTCCCTCCCTTTTCACCAGAGAAGGATGCCGCATAGAGAATGTACTGAAGAATATCAAATGCAGAAAGTATGCTTTCAACATGATACAGCTGATGGCTTTCCCAAAGTACTACCGACCTCCAGAGGGAACATATGGAAAAGCTGACACCTAAGCTTTAGACACCACACAAAAAAGGCTGTGTGTGCAGGATCACACACCTGTGCTCATTAGTTAACACAAAATTGCTTTGTGCGTCTCACAGATTGGGCATACATGAGAGGAAAAATACCTAGGTTCTCCCCCAACTGTACTGTCAATCAAAAGGAAACATCGATAAAATATGGTAGATTGAGTGTTCTGGCAACCAGCTGTTTGTTAAATAAAAGCCTAATAATAATAATAATAATAATAATAATAATAATAATATAGATTGTATTTCATAAGCCCACCAGAATTAAAGGTTTGGTCACTAGTCAGATAGAAGGCCAAATGTTGAGTCAGTAGGGGTCACTCTGAGCCTGGACTTGAAAGTAAATCCCACTTCTATACAAAGCAACATTAAATTGCCTAAGATACTGTCTACTGGGTTAAGGGCAAAGCTAAGGTGCTGCTCAGCTGTGGTGCATAAGACCCATGATACGTTTAGAAAAGGAATGTTAATATTGGTGACCTTGCATTAGTAAATATTTGCTGCATTTCTGGATAAACTTTGCAGTTCCAGCTACATACATCGTTAATGCAACAACAAAAAACTAAGTTCACACACTGGTCTAAGCCTTGGGCTTTAAGCCATGTAATGTATTACAGTTGCCTTGGAATCAGGATCTGGGGTTTTACCTGCCATTCTCAGTGGTGTTAAGCGACAACCTGTGTAAGTACCGTAATTATGAAACAAGGATGGCCACTGGAGTCTGTCCATAGCTGTCAACCTTCCCTTTTTTGGCGGGAAATTCCCTTATTCCAGCGCCGTTTCCCGCTGCTTGTCCCCAGGACAGGTGAGGCTGCTGATCCCTTATTTTCAAATCTGAAAGTTGACAGCTATGAGTCTGTCCCCTGTGCACTCTGAAAGTACCAAAAGGGAAAGGAGATTCAACTAGTGGTTATAATAAATGTTTGTATGTAAATGACAGTGATAATAATTTATTAAAATTGTAACCTGCAGAATCAAAACCATCTGGGTAAAGAACCTGTAACCTATTGCCATAGAGTTAAAGCTATATAAAAGGCTAAGGCCAAAGAACAGCTCTTCAATCTGAAATGTATCACTCGTGAATGTTAATATGAAACCTAAAGCAGAGTGCCATTTTCAAATCAAATGTAAATACTACCCCAATATAAGTTTTACATTTGAATGGAAAGGGCTGGGAATTGGGGGGGGGGAGTAAATAGAGAAGAACCATTTAAGAAAATTAAGATATGTTGCTATAATGATGCTCAGTGAGTTTCAGGCAGATTGTACTACTGCAGTAAATCTCTGCATTTGAAACAATGAGGTCTCATTGTTTGTACATTTCCACTGTTTTACTGGCAAATAAGAGCAATGACAGCCTGGGCAGGAAGATAAGTTTTAAACAGCTGAAAGTACTAGAGAACTTCAGCAAAATGGATTGGATCCAGACTTAAATTAGATGTGTGTAACTTAAGTCCTGCTAGTTAAGTCCCGCTAAACTCATTCCCAATGATTTTAATAGCTCTAAGCATGGCTAAATCTTTATCCAACCCAGCGTTCTTACCACAGTCAAAACTTTGCAAAGGCACAAATATTGTTGTGAAAAGTGGTAGAATATCAACACACAAGCAATAAACTTTTCATTTCAGTGGGATATAAATCTGTGTTTGTATTTTCACTATAAAACAGCTGCATATTGAAAGGTGCACTGCTGACCAGTGAATCCGTATTGTCATAAGTAAACTTGTATAATGCTTTCAGAAATGTTTGCTCTGTGAAAACTGCTTTGAGGATTTGAGAATATGGGTTCTCAGAAGCAGTATCTCTAGCAATGCTGTGTTAAAATGCCATCTGGCATCCCACTTTTGTTAATATTTATGTGATTAGTCCCACTGAATTTAATATGTTTCAAACCATTTGCTTACTTAAAATAATCATGAATTAATTAGAAGTGAAGACAATTCCCTGGCAATACAGTATCTTATTGCGCACGTTGATGTCATGTAGCAAAGAAACAAACCAAAATATAAAGAATAACTAAATGTGAACATTAAAAAAAAATATAATACAGTAAGTCAGTAAGCATCTGAGAATGTATTCATATTACCTACTGAAAATTTAGCTTTCTGGAATAATTCACACATGAAGGAAAAAATGTACCGTGGATGAATTTTGTTGTAAGATGTAAATTATTCTAAAGCAATAGCGACACATACTTTAATCAGAAATAGTTCTGGCTGAAGTCCAGAAAGGATTAAGTCCAGGAAACCTTTTTTATTTTAATGGCCAGAAGTGTAATCCCCCAAGGAAGGTCACCACAGTTGAAGTGAGTGGGAGCTAGTAAAGAATGCTATTTTCCATTCATTTCAGTTTCCTCCCAGATCTTTAGTACTGATGAGTGCAGGTAGAGGCTAAAACAGCCTATCTCTCTTGTGACAATTGTGTTTGGTTAACACCTAAACCATGTTGCTGCTATAAGTAAATCAAAGTCTGGACTGATAATTTTTAGAAGTTTCATCACTGAAGTTTCAGGTGTCTTTCAAAAGAAAGGTAGCAGGCTAGCAGTTTGCCTCTGGAAAAGTATAATACTTCAGGGACTTATTCTTTAATGCTAAGTTTTGTAGAAAAATAGGAGAAATTCTGTGAACAGCAGGAAAAATCATGAATGCAGGAAAGTGCCAAATATAGTGCATTTTAACTTATGCTCCAGAACACAATGCTACTGAGTTAGCATATACAACTGGCTGACATTTTTAAATTATTTAATACTATATAGAGTTTTCTGCATGCTTAAGACCACTGGTTTCTGGAGTGCTTTACAGCCCTAATGAATGTGTGTTTACAGCACTTCCAGTGCCATTAGACTTTGCTTGACCCTTATGTATTATTTCTTTGGCTATTTTTTTAAAAACCCACATTATTCATCCTAGTGTGCATTTCCAGTTGCCCAAACAATATTTTTAATATTTTAGCATACTTTAAAAGGGAAGAATGGCACATATCCATAGGTCAGCGGTTGTAGGAAAACAGTGTGCTGTCTTGAGACTATTTTTAAAGTAATGAGTTTTTTTCTCTGTCTTTTCCCTCTGTGTTTCTTTAATCTCATGGCATATGAGACACCTTTCATTCTATGCTACCAAAGTCTCAAAGAACCATGATCTGTTGTTCTCTGCATACAAATGTAGAATGCAATTTTGTAAGCTGCCTTGTAAGAAGTTGTCCTAAAAGGTATAGATTATATATGTGATTATGCTGTAATGTTCTGAGTAAAATGGAGGCCACCACGAATTATCTATTGCAGGCATAGGTAACCTTTGGCCCTCCAGATGTTTTCGACTACAATTCCCATCATCCCTGACCACTGGTCCTGTTAGGGATCATGGGAGCTGTAGGCCAAAACATCTGGAGGGCCGAAGGTTGCGTATGCCTGATCTATTGCATCCAATAAAAGTTTGTTCACAGGTGGCCACAGGTCAGTGAACTGAACTGCAATTCCATGTCCCCCAAAAGACAATGATTTGTGTTTCCTGAAACATCACTCCTGCACAAACCCCATTTATTTGAATGAAGATTTTGCAAAAGCAGTAATCATTTGCATTACCTTTAAAGCATTTGTTTCTACTGCGAAACATTTTGGATAAAGTCCACAAGTTTTAACTAAGTTTTGGAGCACAGGCCCAAAGTATATTTGACAGCATTGCCTCTTAAGTGAATTGAGCAGCAGTCTTTTTTTGTTTTTGCTTTTATGCATTTATGTACTGTACTTTCGTTTTTATCATTTTGGCTATTGGTTTAAAAACTGCAGGTATTGTTATGTGTAAGCCATATCCATTGTATATTGTGTGTGTGTGTGTTGTGCATGTATTTTTATTTAAATAAATTTGTCTTATTTTTCATAGAGTTGACTTTCTGTGTTTGAATTGTTTCCATCATCATAAAACATGCAGCATGAAAGGATCAGATCCTGAGAAGTGCTATAAATATCTTCTGTCACTTGAAGTGACTTTGTAAATCTCAACAGGTCAGACAGTTAAGAAAAGCCCTTTGAAAACTGACTTGGCTTAAGGTTCCCAGCTTGATGATCCATATACATATACTGTATATATTAGAACAGGGCTAATAAATTGGTAGCTTTTGTGGAGCTATGTGTTTGTGTTACAGTAAACATTATTTTTCAATATGGATCAGATAAAGTCAATATTGCTTTGTTAGAATGAATTCACAAATAAATACATTGGCCACCTTGATGAATTAAGTCAAGTGATAAATTTGCATGTCTGGAACAGCTATTACTGGTGAAAGACAACAGAGTTTTCACATTGTCTCATATAATCTCTTTCAGCAGGAGGCATTCACGTTTTCCACATGAAATGCATCAAGCATAATTATATACCTGAGTGACTAAAGTGAACTTTTATTTTTGTCATATTTAATTTTCATTTAATTTATAACTTTAAAAGGTAAGTCAGTGGATAAAGGTAAAGGTACCCCTGCCCATACGGGCCAGTCTTGACAGACTCTAGGGTTGTGCGCCCATCTCACTCAAGAGGCCGGGGGCCAGCGCTGTCCGGAGACACTTCTGGGTCACGTGGCCAGCGTGACATCGCTGCTCTGGCGAGCCAGAGCCGCACACAGAAACGCCGTTTACCTTCCCGCTAGTAAGCGGTCCCTATTTATCTACTTGCACCCGGGGGTGCTTTCGAACTGCTAGGTTGGCAGGCGCTGGGACCGAGCAGCGGGAGCGCACCCCGCCGCGGGGATTCGAACCGCCGACCTTTCGATCGGCAAGCCCTAGGCGCTGAGGCTTTTACCCACAGCGCCACCCGCGTTCCCTAAGTCAGTGGATACAAATACTATTAAACACCTTTCAATGTGTTTTGTTTGATAGTTGGCATTGGTTTGTCTCGATAAGGTACCATAGCACTTCCCCCTAGCACCTCATAGACCCCAATGTCTAAATAAATTAAAAAATTGCCTAGTAGCACCTTAGAGACCAACTTTGTTCTGGGTATAAGCTTTCATGTGCATGCGCACCTCTTCAGATACCCAGAACAAACTTAGTTGGTCTCGAAAAAGAAGAAGAGGAGTTTGGATTTGATATCTTGCCTTTCACTCCCTTTAAGGAGTCTCAAAGCAGCTAACATTCTCCTTTCCTTTCCTCCCCCACAACAAACACTCTGTGAGGTGAGTGGGGCTGAGAGACTTCAGAGAAGTGTGACTAGCCCAAGGTCACACAGCAGCTGCGTGTGGAGGAGCGGAGACGCGAACCCGGTTCACCAGATTATGAGTCTACCGCTCTTAACCACTACACCACACTGGCTCTCCAGGTGCTACTGAACAATTTTTTAATTTATTTTGACTGCGTCAGACCAACACAGCTACCTACCTGAACCCCAATGTCTGATAGTATAAAACATACATTACTCCTTGAAAATGATTCTCCTTGCCTCAAACAGCTTGAAACTGAACAGCTAGCAACTACTTAGATAATGAAATCTCTCTCTGTGTATTTAAGTCCTGTCAATTTCAGTGGCATCAATCTTAAATAAAACACGTCAATGAAATCAGTTTCACAGTTCAGCAAAATTATGAGTTCATATCAAACTATGGTTTTCGCTGAGAACTCCGAGCATGGTTTGTTTTCAACATGTACAGGTAACAATTACTAACACACCAGTCTTTGGAAGCCGGCTTATATTAAATCAGGCCCTGGTTCATATAATTCATACAGCAAAGGGCATATCAGGATTTGGAAATTTGGCCCTCCAGGCATTGCTGGACTGCAGCTCCCTCATCCTATGCAGCTTCATCATGCAGTGCCCTGGAGCAGATGCAGAGCACTTTCATTAATAGCTTGCCATATAGTGACAGCGGCAGTGCCTTAGTTAATAAGAGGCAGTCTTGTGGGGATTCATGTGATAATCTTATCCAAAAGCAGAAACCATATACCTTTTGCCTTCAACCAGAAACCCTCAAACCTTTTAATAATGCAGCTCCAATAAACAATGGAGAAAATATCCATATCTGTTTCTTATTACGTCCTCCCCAACCCCAAAAAACAAGTTTGAAGCCATGTGCTGCTGTGATTCAAAAGTTTCTGCAAAATCTCTTCAGTCTTACCACTGTCTTGTACTTTTCCCAGACCTTATTTCATTACCCAAAGGAACATAAGTTACATCATGGATTAAAGAAACCAACTATTTATATAATGTAGGCACTTGAACCAAATGTCCATGTAGGTTTGGCTAATATATGGGGGTGGCAGCGGTGCATGTAGATGATGCATTTTAGACCCTGGTCTTATGGGGTTGTAGAGCGTCTTTAGATGGTCATGTGTATTACCTCAGTTAGCACATCTGTCCTGCTTACTGCTGGAGTTGGGGGCCCTCCTGTTCATTCTGCTGAGTGGGATTCTGGACTTCAACCCCAAATCCTGCCCTGATCACACAACCGTGGGTAATAAGCAGGTAAAGTATAACATAGGAGAAACTGCCCCTTCTCATTTGCACTGCGCTGCTACATTTCTCCATATATATAGAGAGAGAGAGAGAGCTTGAGGAAAAGAAGCCCGACTGAGTCATAATTCAAAGGAAGTGATCATAATGCACTATAAATTTCAAATATATATTTAAGGCTACAATCCTAAAGGGCAGGACCCAAAGCCCTACTGGGCTGTTACCAGCAGAGAAATAGAAGCTGAGTGTTGGTGTACTGATGACACTTCGCCCCACGACTCCCAAATAATTTAAAAAGAACTACCGTATTTTTCGCTCCATAAGACACACTTTTTCTTCCTAAAAAGTAAGGGGAAATGTCTGTGTGTCTTGTGGAGCAAATGCATGGTCCCTGGAGCTGAATTGCCCACAGGCAAAAAGCAGATCATGTTTTGTTTTGTTTTTGAAAGAAGGAAGTGGGTGTTGAAACAAAGCCGCTGATCGGCAAGCGATCAGGGAGCGAGATAAGGGACGCTAGCAATAAAGGAGGCCACCTGGGAGGGGGGAGGTAAAGACAGCAAACTTGCAAGGAGAGGAGACAGGAAGACTAAAGCAATGAGAAGAGAAATTAGAAGAAAAGGAGGAGCAAAAAACTGCTCCAGCTAAGGAAATGCCACTAAGGCAAACAAGAGGGAAGGGAGTGTTGAAAGAAAGCAGCTGATTGGTAAGCAATTGGGGAAATAGATAAGGGACGCGATAAAGGAGGCTGCCTGGGAGGGGGGAGGTAAAAGTCCATGGATCCTCAGGGTTTTTACATTGGGTCACCTCAAATTCGCCATCAGATCACATAGCATGTCCATGGCTACAGCCTGCACCAAAAAAATCATACACCCACTTTTGCCTGAGGCCACAATGGTGCAAAAACGTGGTTACAAAGCACGGATCCACAAGGATCCTCAGTATTTTTGCATTGGGCTACCCCAAACTCACTGTCAAACCACATGTCTGTGGCCACAGCATGAACCACAAAAATCATACATCCAATGTTTCGTTCAGAATATTTTTCTTTTCTTGTTTTCCTCCTCTAAAAACGATGGTCAAGTGCGTCTTATGGAGCGACAAATACGGTATTTAATAGTTGTTAAACTATTGCAGCAATTTCTTGAGAATGCACACTACTTGCCCCAGAAACATTCAAGGTATTCTCTTCTTCCATGAGAAACAATAATATCTAATATTTTAGCTAAGTGGAAATTACAGACCTTTTGTGAAGCTTAACTACAGCTGCTGCAGTGATGTACTAAAAATAAAAATAAAATGTCAGAAATAAGGGCTGGTAGAAACAACAACAACATTGAAGAAGCCATTTATATTTATAGATTCAGGGGTATGTTAATGGACACCAGCAGGGAGGATGTGCATTCCAATGCATTTTAAAAAAAAAAAATCCAACCCAACAGTGAAGCATCCTATGTATGCAATGCAGCTCTCTTCTGAATTAAACTTAAGTCAAGTCAATTTTTATAGGCATGAAGGCCACAGTCATAGCACTTAATTCTCTCTGATCTTCGGACTGTTGAATTTTCCTTCCTGCTGTGCTCTCCTGCAGTTTATTTTTAACAGTTAATTTGTTCGGACATCATTAAAAAGAAAACCCTCTGGCTTCTTGTGGTAATAAGGCACCAAGTTGCCTGTCAAGCTCTTATAAAAAGCAAGGTCTAGAAAACAACAAGAAGTTTCAGAGATAATGGAATTCTGGCCTGTGCTGACAACTGGGAAGTATGAAAAGAGCCACACACCTGGAACTGGCTTCCTTAGGCAGCCAGCTCTGCAAAATACTTCACCTGTTTACTGCTTTACCAAAAGTGCCTCTAAATTGTTATGGCTGTACTAGGCGCCTGCTCAACCTGGACAACCTAGAACAGTGGTTCTCAAAGGGTGTGACAGGAGAGGATGGCAAGTGGGGCAGGAAGATTCAAGGACAATCAAAGAAACATTCAAGCAGAACAGTATAGTACTGTATAGTATAGTACAGTACAGTATAGTATAGTATAGTATAGTATAGTATAGTATAGTATAGTATATCAAAATAATAATAAAAATTATATACAACCAGAAACAGTATCCTGTCTTCAATAGCATTAGCTACTCTTTTACAGCTCTTCATGACATATTGTTGCAAACAGTAATTTTCAACTCTTGACAAAAATGAAATATCTGAAAAGAGAAAGGCTTCTTTGTGTTTGATGAGGAGATGAGAGTTTGTTTGCCTCAAATTAGACTTAATATAAATGAGATTACCTGGCAAAAGCAAGCTCACACCTCTCACTGAGTTTGTATACAGTGGTACCTCAGGTTACATACGCTTCAGGTTACAGACTCCGCTAACCCAGAAATAGTGCTTCAGGTTAAGAAGAAGAAGAAGAGTTTGGATTTGATATCCCGCCTTTCACTCCCTTTAAGGAGTCTCA